TGTAACGACCCACCTTAGGTCATCACATCAATAACCAACCAAAATAAAAGAGCATTTATAATAAAAAAAATAGAGCAAAAGCCAGCTACGCTAGAGTGTAAAAATTGTTTTCATAATAGCAAACATAAGTATATTAGTCATTCTCAGTAAAATCATACAGTCATCCAAAATATATTAACATTAACCATTAACAGAAACACCCTAGGTGCTGGTCAAGCTCTAAGCCTAGCCACTTCTCAAAGCAGCTACCCAGAAGACTCCTTGCTATCCTATGGCTTCACACCTGATCTGCTCCCCCACATAGTGAGATCATCACAGTTCCACCACATGGAAACATAAGGGTTAGCACGTATAAAACCAACCATAGTATAAATATCATTTAACAATTATTTGTTCAAACCAACATGTATTTCCAAGATAGATATAAACCAATAGCATACATATTAATTAAAGAAATCCATAACCCTAGTATACAATCCATACCATATGTATACATAATCCACATCCAAAGCAAAGTCACACCACCGTATAATCCATGATGTAACCAACACATCCAAACCAAATGTTGGCCTCAACACCTATCCAAACCAAGTGTTGATACGGTGAAACATGTCAGCAACCCATGTCTCACGCCTAACCTCTCATGGAAAGTATACAGTTGGATTACGTCGTCACGTAACCCTGGTGGGGTCACCTCATCCATCGGTATGACTCGACCCAGACCCATACCGGTAGCAAATAGATACTTAGAGGAGTACTTCAGAATCCACCTAACATCTGAAGTGGTTTACTATATAATCCTTGGAAAATTTCCAAATTGGAAATCCTCACAATGGGATTCCGAAATACCATATTTTCTCCAAAGATTATATCCCTGATCTCACCAAGAGACCTCCCATCCATAACCTTACTCCTCTCAGTCCTATTTACTTTTCCAAACCACATACACATACTTCATAATTATATATATAAACATAATCATAACCATGCCAAATTAAATATCCAAAACAACCACCAACTTGAATAAATAACAACCATCAATTTAAATAAATAACAACCTTCATACAAACAAAATTGCATATTAAAAGTTATACTACTCCTATCATGCTCATGTATACTAGATTAAGTCTTATAAGTACTACCCATACTAGATTAATTTTATAAATGCCACCCTTACTTGGATAATCCTGAACTGAAACTCGGGCAGAAACTGAGACTATAGCACAGCTGCCTCCCCAAAGCTCCTTCCGTCTAAAATAGGGACCGGAGCTAAAACTAGGACAGAACCTCCTCCTCTAGATTTCCCTTGGTCTTCAAAGAGAAGAAGAGGGAAAGAAGAGAGTATAAGAGAAGAGAGAATAAGAATGAGAAGTGTTTCTTGGGATGGTTTGCAATGGAGAAGTGAAGGTCTATTTATAGTCTCCAAAACACATTAAAAAATGTAAAATAATGGAGAAAAAGATAGACAAAACTAAGTGGAATGAATTAGTGGAATGAATTATAGAAGTTGGTGGGAATTAATGGAGTTGGTGTGAATTAATGGAGTTGGTGCCATGTTCTTTTCCTCACCGACTTTGGCCACCGCTTTGGCCCTTATAGACAATCGAATCTGAAAATATTTTCTTCATGAAAGTTGTAGGAGTTTCTCTTATATTTCCATAGCCACCAAGTTTGTATCATTTGAACAACCACCGACCAAGTTATGCCCCAAACACCGAGGCTTGCCAATCAGCCCAACGAGAAACAATTGTATCAATTAAATACCAATTTTGACCTTCTATACGAACGAATTTGCAAATGGCTATTTCTGCAAAAGTTATGAGTTTTTATCTTAGGTTTCCATTGACACCAATTTTGCATCATTTGGGCCATCACAGACCAAGTTATCCCCCAAAAACCGAGACTTGTCAGTCAGCCCAGCGAGAAATGGTTCTTAAAAATTCACAACTATCTAATTAGGTCCAATAACACACATATCTTTTTAAAGCTTATAATTATGCATAAATGGAGTATGAATTAACTACAATTAAAATATAACTACCAAATTATGACCAAATACCATATAATAATAATAATAGTAATAATCATTTGGAAAACTAGGATGTTACAGCATCACTGTTAGTGTAGAGGTTTACCTGGGTTGTATACGAATCGATATGTTCGTCGGGGTCAGTTGTGCCGTCATAGAGGTCGAGGTGGAGGGGTTTCCATCCGCGGGGTAGCGGAGTCTCCATGATGCCGTCCACGAAAGGGTGACGGCAGAAAGGCTCTTGGCCTTCAAAAGCATGGGTGGCGGCCTTGCTGGTGTCCTGCCCTGACTTATACGTCGGTGCGTGAGATCGGTGCGTAGCGGGCCGTGAGGTTGGTGCCTTGGTCGTTGCCCGAGATTGAGTGGCTGAATGTGCCTCTTCGTCGCATGTGTTGCTCTCGCGGGGAGGCTGGTTGGAGTGGTGTCGAGGGAGTTGAGAGTGGATATGCTCGTTTTCAGCACGTAAGGCTGCGAGTTCTGCTTCATTGGCTGCCTGCATAGCTGCGAGATCGTTTGCATGCTGAGTGCGCATGTTCTGGAGGTCGGCGTTGTGCTGTTATCGCATCTGTTCGACCTGATCAATCAGCCTTCTCAATGTTGTTGCCTCGCTATCCATGGTGGCTGAGTGGCTTACGTTGTCCGTTGCTCTTCTGATGTGGCTCCTGGTAGAAACCATACAGGTGGCCGATGAGAGCTGTCACGATCGGCCCCACGGTGGGCGCCAAATGTTCTTACCAGAATCTGGTTGTGGCGATGACCTGTCCAGTAAGATCGGTGAGCCTCCTTTGGTGATGTGCTGGTGCTCCAAGATGGGGGAGGTACCTGCAAAAGAGACTCCGATGCTAAAGTTAGGGTTTGTGTGAATATGAGTCTCATTTTAATAACGCACGTACCTTGGTGTGAATTAGGTTGTTTTTGGGCTCTGGGCCTGAGATAAGATATAGTATGATTAGATAATGTATTTCGCCTGGGGCGAGATCCTTTGGGATCAGTTATGATTTACACTAGGTACCGAGCTGACGTCATGCAATGTGTACCCGAGATCATCCTGTGTCGTGGTGCCAAGCTCCGAGCTCGGTTTCACAGATCGGATAGTACACACACCATACTAGGAGAGAAGATCTACATTGATATCATTTATAACACTACTTTGATTTGACGTCTCAGCGGCCCCACTTTATGACACTTTATATAGTGACAATCTTATTTCATTAAAATTTCGAGATCAGATTGTTAATCTATATTTCTCTTTCATGAGCTTATTTGTAATGTATAACTATTATTAATCTGTTTTTTATGTGTCGTGGTATTTGAGGATAACTTAATTTTGTATGAATTTAATATTTATTTTTAACAATTATGTGTTTAATTATCTTTGTATTTTACACTTTTAAGTTTGAAACTTATGATCATAAATAATATTTAAATACTTATAAAGATATTATTTTTTTACTTCACTCATGAAAAAAGAGAGTTAAAGTTCAGCTGTCCTTCATTCACATTCATCTATAATTTAGGTATACATGGAGAATCTTTCAAATTCTTCTAGTAGCTCTTAGATGCCCAATAAATATACTGACGATGAGGATTCTAATCACAAAAAGGACCTTTATTAGCTTATGAGGATTCTATCATTTATTAAGACATATTTTTGATGAGTTAGAGTGATTTTATTGGAATTAGTGTAGATATTATCATGACTTAAACTCTTTTTATTTTTATTATTTTTATTTTTTATTTTTTATTTTTTGTTTACATTTAGAGGGATAGTTAATATCCTTTGATTTTGTATTTATTTTAGATACTCATAGAATCAACGTTAATGATGATATTCTTCTAAATTATGAATGAAGTAGCATTAGTCTTTATTTATTGTAATTATCTTTTAGTATCCTAACGTTTCCTAATAATAGGTATTTTCCTCTCTTTTCTCTGTACTCCTTTCGAAGCATATTTGCCACAAATGACAACTGGCACAAATCAGGGGCTTTGAATAGCAATAAAAGAAAAGTGTGCATTAATTTTTCTATGTCATATCTTCTTATAATTCGTTCGTTTTACGTCTCAATATTAAAATCATGGAAATCAAAATGTTATCAGAAGCATCTGTCATAAACAACACAAATAAGGACATAAAAATAAATAGTACGAAAAGGACCCCCAAAATATATTGTAAACACATATAATGATAACACTAACTGTTTTTGTGTTGAATACTACTGAGATCAAAAAGGAGAAGTTGGATATTCTCTTCAATTTGGAGGACCCGGTAGAAATTGTGGAAATTAATTAAGTTTCAATTGTAACTTGTATGGAATATATAAACAAATCCTTTTTATGGATAAAAATAAATGATACTATCACCATTATTTAGATAATGATAATAATTTCTTTTCTTGTCCTCTATTTTAAAATTTTATTGCAAGGAGAATGGGCTGTTCTACAAGGAGAACGGGCCATACTCCATGGAGAACGGGCCGTTCTGCAAGGAGAACGGGTCGTTCTCCAAGGAGTACGGGCCGTTC